CACGAGTTGTGGAGAGAAGATGGTGGCATGTCTCAGGGGATTGCAGATGGCCACATAGCGATCCAGAGCCATGGCCAGGAGGATGCCTGATTCTGTTGCCTGGAAGGAGTGGATGAGTTCCATTTGCAGCAAGCATGCATCAAAGGAAATCTGTGGTATATGAAACCAGAAGATGCCCAACATTTTGGGGAGAATGCATGTGCTAAGTGCAATGTCTGTGACTGCCAAAATGGCCAGGAAAATGTACATGGGTATGTGGAGGCTCTTTTCACCTTTGATTATTACTAAAATTAGGGAGTTCCCAATCAAAGCGATGATGTACATGGCACAGAATGGAATTCCGATCCAGCATTGCACTGACTCCAGGCCAGGTATCCCAACTAGTGTTAATACAGAAGGCATGAAGACTGAGCCATTGAATGTCAGCATGGTGAATCTATCAGGAGAACAGTGTAGCCGTGTAATGCCTCAACTTCTGCTCCATACTAGGACAGGATACATTGAATACAAGAGAAATTAAATCATTATTAAAATGTATTCTAAGTAAGTTAGGAGTATACTATCCTTTCTCACCTCAACTAATCCTCTCCACTTTTGTCTCCCTTCTCAAGGGAATTTAAACTGAAGCAGTAAGTTCTAAGTTGTCATTACAGTATTAGTAATGCCAAAATTGCTTTGTAAATTTTTTTCTTTTTTTCAGAACACTGGATTCAAAATCCCTTTTTGCTTATTATCTATTGTCTCTGTGTTGCTAAGGACTTCTAAGTGCAAGTTGTAAAATAATGGTATTAGATGATCTCACATCAACCTATAGTAGACATAGATAATCCACCAGACTGTGAGATTTCCCAGTCTTCTCTAAAGAAGGCAAGTGTTTTTGGAACATCTTGCAGGCCTATTGCTTTACTGCTGGTTTCTTTGAGAAGTCTCTTCATAATAGACTCTCTAGAACTATATCCAAATTAACCTGTTAAAGGTTTAGTATTTCCTTAAATATAATTATTTACTTTACACATCCTACCACTTCTGCGAGAATTTTTAATATGAATAGTTGATCAACATCAAGAAAGAGCAAACACATTTTTTGTGAAAGGAGAAATATAGATAGATAGATAGATAGATAGATAGATAGATAGATAGATAGATAGATAGATAGATATACATACATACATAGCCTGACTATTAAAATACTATTATTTGCAGAATTTTCTAAATTCTCTAAATGCAAAACAGAAGGGCTGTGGAAAAGTTTATTATGTTAAACTGAAGGGTAGCGGGTATTTCTGTTAAAATAGACCACTATTTACCAATGAATAGACATAAAGTTCCATCTAATCTAACACCAAGTTATAAATGAAGACAGAGACATCTGTGTGCTATATGCTTGCTTTTTTCTTCTACTTTGACATTCATGGTACAGAACCTCAAGTCCCCCAAACTTACCTGAAGCTATCTGATGAGACACACACCACTCATGCTGTGGAAATTTTGTGATAGTTTAGTCAGTGAAGGTTGAGGGGTTTATACTACAGTACGTCTCTAGGGACCTGAGATTTTCTATTCCTTGGTGCCTCTGAAGGTCATCCTGCAGCAAAGGTGAAAAACGATGCAGACCGTGGCTGCAGCCAGCTCAGGGATAGAGAGTAGCATAATGTGTGAAACCCTGTGTTTATTTCTGGCACTGAAAACGGAAAAGAGAAAGTGTTTGAGAAATGAGGCAATTAATTAACTAACAGATGCTGTTTACCAGAAGTTTTTTTCTTTCTCCAACTTCTCTATCCCTTTGCATCATAGAACCAAAATTACCCTCCTTTTGGAAACCAATGACATGGCGAGGTCCTGAGATGACAAAATCACATGTAAGCACTCATTTCAAAATAACTACTTAAAAGTGAAATTAAAAGCACCTTGAGTACATCAGCCTTATTTGAATTTTCAAATCACTAAGTCATCTTCAAACAATATTGAAGTCTTCAGAGAGATGGAGCACGTACATCCCTTATGGAAGTCTCTCAACTGTGTGGATCACACAGAACACTTACATGTTCACCTTTGCCAAAGCCAGTAGACTTTTTGTCAGTTCCTCACTGAATGTGCCATGCACGAAGGTTTTTAAGTGGTTTGTTCATGGCCTAGGAGCTTGAGGACAGATGAGTCAGTATCAACTGCACTGGGAGAGAAACAAGACATCTTTAGATGTGGTCCTTGTGCAATCAGTAGTGATTTTTTTCAGGCCAACAAATGAGGATGACTTTGGAAAGTAAGCGTACTTGAGAACTTCAATCAACTTTTAGCACCTGTAAGTCTTCCCCTTGAACCTGGGTGACCTAAAGTTCTTCTGTATTTAAGACAGCTCTCACTATACTGTTCTCATAAAATTTTTGAATTGGTGATAGGCAATTTTGTTAAAATTTTGTAGCGTTTGTAATATTAATATTCTCAGAACTAATGTCATGACCAGTATTTGCCTAACAGAAAGAAGGGTGTAAGCTTTCAAAAAAGACTTTAAAAATGTGATTACTAGGGACTGTGTGCACAGAGAAATTGGGAAGATATTTTTTAAAAAAAAATGTTATTTAACATGTTCAGTAAGTTCATGGTGACTAAAGCTAAGAATAACATGTTGCACATTTTAAATTGCTAAAAACTCGATTTTTGATTTATTATCATGAATAACATAGTAGGTGATATACATGTTCAATATATGGGCATCTCCAATCTATACCACATGCATAGATTGAAATATATTGTATTCTTTAAATGTTCGTTTTAATATCCTTCATGATAGGAAGGGGTCTTGACGTTTGAATTCAAGAAATGAAAGGAATAAGATTCCCATTTTCTGCTCATGTAGGAAATTCATTCGTGCTTTAGAAATGATCCATAGTATGTGTCTGGGCTACCTTACACACGAAGCTTTTTTACAAGGTGACCCTATGAGTGACACCACCAAACACAGACGATAATAATAATAATAATAATAATAATAATAATAATATAAACAATTATACATCAATATGAATTAATTTAATATATTATTAACAAAATCAGAAATACACTTGTACACTTCCCTTAATGTATGTGAAAGCTTATTTTATTGAGGTTTCCACACTTTATTGATGATATCTCTTAAAATATTGGAGGAATATGGAAAATTTCCCACCAAAATAAAAGCTATATGAGGCAAGTCTTTAAACAATATTATTTTCAATGATGGCATGTTAAAAATTTAACTTTGGGCAAGGTGTGGATGCACACCCCTTTATCCTAGCACAGAGGAGGCAGAGGCAAGTAGATCCTTGTGAGTCTGAGACAAGCATGATCTGCATAGTGAGTTTCAGGCAGACCAGGATTATATAGTAAGACTTACTTGTCCAAAATAAAAAACTCTTTCCTTTAATTCCTGGAAGAAGAGAAGGGAGAAAAGGAAGACTTTGAAAGCCAGAGTTGGATAGAAATGCTGGGAAATAGTATCTCCTGGACATGACTAGGACCTTGCACTTGTGAGCTCATAGCAGCTGTGGCTGTCCGCACAAGTCCCACACAGGATCAATCAACACTTCAACAAGGATAGGAGAGGGACTCCTGCGACCCCTCCCTACCCATGGAACTTTGGGCAGGAGATGGCCATTGAGGAAGGAGAGGCCGGTTTCTTCAGTAGTGTGGCCCATAGGACTTTGCTTCATGGTTAGAGCTGTTTGTTCTATATTTCTCACAAGGAAAAGAATACATGGAAGTTCATTCACAGCTCTTTAGAGAACTTGGTACATGTAAGTCTAATGTAAATATATGAATATGTGCATATATATGGATAAGTATCTATATACACATGTAAACAAGATAGTAACAAACTCTTAACAGTTACAAAAATGTTAAAAAGTTCAAGTTGAATTTCTAAATGTTGCTGCTTTGTCTTTTTGTATAATTCAGATCTTTTTGACAGTTTCATGGCTTTTATTAGATTTTAACAGAAAAATGAGATTTTTTTTTAGCAAAGTGAATTACTGTATAACACATACACATACATCATGTGAGCAGAGCCTTTTTCAGTTTGAGTTTCCATGAGGACATTCCAATAACACTTTTGCTGAGGTCTCTTTTTAACTCAGGCACGGAATTTCCCAGTCATTTATTCTTGCAAAGCCTCCATTTCCAGAAGGATGCTTCCTTAATGTCTTAGAACAGAAAACCCCCACACATATGTAGAAAATTAGCTTTTGTAAAACTCAGGTGATATTGAGAGTTAACTTTATCTTGGTAAATGTATTTAACTCATTATTGACAATTTATTTAATGCATATATTGTGTAAGTTTATACTTTAAAAGCAGCTTTGTGATCATCTATAAGCATACCTAAATATATATATGTAC